GGCTCAGGTCATGATCCTGGAGTCCCTGGATCGAGTCCGCATCAGGCTCCCTGCTCGGCAGGGAGTCTGCTTCTCCCTCTAACCCTCCCCCCTCTCATGTACTTTCTCGCTCTCTCAAATAAATAAATAAATCTTTAAAAAAAAAAAAAAAAGAAACAACCAAGAGGGACATCTGGCTGGCTCAGTCTGTGCAGCATGTGACTCCTGATCTCAGGGTTGTGAGTTCAAGCCCCCGGGTAGGCATGGAGCCTACTTAAAAAAACAAAAAACAAAATTGACAGGAAATACACCAAAATATTGGCACCTTACTGGGCTGCTGACAGAACGTCAACTCCAGAACTTGGTACAAAGCATAGGCCTAGTAAATGCTCAACGCACTGGAAACAGAAAACGCATAGGTGAGGGAAGAAATTTCAACACATTTTTGGCCTAATGCACAGAAGTTATCTTTGAAAAATGGTACAGCGTGGGGTATTTCCTTTAGAGTTTCAGGTTCCGAATTTTCTGGAAGAATCTCGTCTCCTTTCTCAGAAGAAGGCTAGTCTTAGGCCCTTCGCCAGGTGGCACAAAGATGGCGGCCGGCCCGCCCCCGCGCCCTCCCTCCCCCGAGCCGAGCACTCCCGAGCGCTCCCGAGCGTCCCCGAAGCCGGCAGGAAGCCCGGGAGCCGCGCGGGCAGGAGCGGCCCCGCCCCGGAGCCTGGGAGCGGCGCGCCGGCGTGGGGGAGGGGAGACCGGATGTGAGTGGAGCGGCCATTTCCTGTTTCTCCGCAGTTTTCCCTCAGCTTTGGGTGGTGGCCGCTTCTGGGCTCCGGCTTCCCGTCGGCGGAGGGCTAGGCGGCGTGGACAGAGGCTGGAGGGGGGCTGAGGCGGGAGGATTCTGCCTTAAGGGGACAGAGAGCGTGAGGTGGAGTCACGCCTGGACTGCGGGCAGAGGTGCCGTACCTTCGTTCCTAGGGCCCTGGAGGATCGTGAACAGAAGAGAGACACAGTCAGTGTTAGGGTGTTAACAGCTTTCCAAAAGCTGCTCAAGGGAGGAAAGGTTGGAATGGGGGTGATGAAGACAAGCGAGCACCGGGAGTGGAGTTCTTGTCGGAGGTCACTGAGCTGCTGGGAGAAGTAACTGCGGACTGAAGCATAGAGTTTAGTTAGCCTGAGGTCACTGGGTTCCGGGGCTTGGCGGGTTGCAGGGGAGGCCTGATCTCGTGGAGCCCAACCCTGGTTTCCTCCCCTCAACCACAGGTTCTGAAGGTTGTGAAAGCACTTAGAGAACCTATACAAGTAAGGAAGAGGTTGCCTCAGTCCCTTACTGGTCTTGACAGCGCCAGTATGGTGTCCAGGATTGTGGTGTGTTGAGGCTCTTCCCTTGCTGTTTTTCCAGCTGCTGGGTGTGGGCATCCCAAGAATACCCCAAGCCCGGGGTCCTGAGTGCAGGCCAAGGGTTACATGCAGGTGTTCTTGTTGCTGTCAGCCAGTATAAACAGGTGTGAGACGTTATCCCAGAAATAAATACCAAAGTGTGCAAACGCTTGAACCTGTTTTCATTCTCCCTGCTAGGAACAAAGAGCTGAGGGTCAAGAATCAGGCCTCTAATGTGGCTATTGAGAATTTGGGCATCTGTTATGTAGGTAATGAGAGGTTTGGATAAGGGGGCTGGTGGTCTTACCTAAGTCTTAATAGGTCCATCTGGTTGCAGAAAAGATAACAGACTATGGGGGTAAAGGAGGAGGCAGGAGTCCAGGAGGAGGCAGCTGCTATAATCCAGATTGATGGACCAGAGTGGTGGCCATAGAGGTGGGTGAAAAGTTGGACTCTCTGTCCATTTTTTGAAGAGGGGTGGATTTTTTGATGTTGTAGTTGAGGGAGAGAAAGGGAGGAGTCCAGGATGACCCCAGGGTTTTTGGTCCTCGAAGCTGAAGGGATGGAAGTGCCATCATGTGGGATGGGGTAATTGATGATAGGTTAATTTTCTTGGAGACTATGAGGAGTTTTGTTTGGTCCTGTTAAGAGTCTCAGATGTTTCAGAGAATTGTGAGTGGAGACAGCAAATGGGTATCTGGATTCACAGGTCTGGGTATCTTGGGAGGAGGTTTTGGATGAAGAAATCCAGAAGTGGTGACTATTGTGTCGACCAGGGCGGAGCTGTGGATTGCATTTAGATTGGGGAATGCAGGTCATCATGACAGTGCCTTAGCTGGTCAGATAGAGGAGGGTGCATGATGAGGAATGATTGTCTTGCTGGGCACCTGATCAGTGTTGCTGGGCACACGAATGCAGGTGAAGGAGGGAAGTGATCAAGGTAACCATATGGGGGAGAGAATGGTTTGGAACGTGATCAAGGCTTCCATGGGATGAGTGGATATGAGATGGCTATGGAGGCATGGGAGTAATTGAGACAAGATGACACTGAGGCCAGGCTCCTGCTAATTCACTACTGTAGTTTCACTGGAATTTTGTGATGAGCTTTGGTGGGGTCTGCAGTGTTCAGTCTTGATGGTGGATAGGTCTGGGGCAGACTTTCAAAAGTGGCGGCTATTGTGAGGACCAGGATGGAACTGTGGATCACATTTAGGAAGTGTAATGTAGGTTATAGTGGTAATGCAGTTTTCAGGTTAGAAAGACTAGGGTGCATGCTGAGAAGTGGGTCTCTTGCTTAGTACCTGGTTGAGATCCTAAGAATGAGAAACACAAGGGAGGGAGAGAGGATGATCTGGGAGGTGGCTAACGCTTCCACGGGATGTATGGGTGCAAGATGGCTTCAGAGGCAAGAGAGTAATTGAGGCAAGATGAAACCGAAGGCAGGGCTCCTGCTAATTCACTACTGTATGGATTTACCAGAATTTTGTGGTGAGTTTTGATGGGGTGTGGGGTGTTTCGGTCTTGCTGGTGGATAAGATCTGGGGTAAATGTAGTCATTTGTGAGAATCATTATGCCTGGCAGGGAGACTATAAGGATTGGGGTTTTAGGGAAGGTTGACTGGAGAGTGGGGAGTGTGACTGCTGAAGGGACAGCAAGTCCAGCACAGAAGTGGAAGTGGGTCATGGGCATCTATAATTCATAGTGCCTCTGGGTGGCTAGTATTGAAGCAAGGATCAGAGGTACAGAGGAGGCCTTCAAAGCAGAATTCAGGGCTTTGGCCAAAGTAGAGCTATGGGAGTGCAGCTGTGGGGACTGAAGATGTGAGAGAGGTACAGTTTACAGAACAATGTGCACAACAAGAGGAAGTGTGAGCCAAGGGCCTCAGGGTATTGGAGCTGAAGGGTAAAGCATGAGCCATTTCATTGCGTTTTGGGAGTCTCAAAATAGAGACCTTGGGGGAATTGACAGTATGGACCATACAGGTCAGGAGGAATTTGGATGACATCTCTTGTTTCCCTTGCCTGATGTTGCTGAGGGCAGAACACAGTGAATAAAGAGAACCTGAAGATAGGGTGGACATTAGTGGCACCTAGGCATGGCATTTCTGAAGTGGGGACCTCTGAAAGAGGATAAGTGTGGGATAGATGTGTGGCGAGATGGATTGTGGGACTCAGAGAATGTTCATGGTTTCATCTGTCCCCATCATAACAGGATAGTGTGACCTTTGAGGACATTGCTGTGTACTTCTCCTGGGAGGAGTGGAGGCTCCTTGATGAGGCTCAGAGATGCCTGTACCACGATGTGATGCTGGAGAACTTTACACTTATATCCTCACTGGGTAAGGCCCTCACCCTCCACAGTGGCCTGAAGTAGGCTCTCTTCCCTCCCCACCCACCATTTCTCAGTGTCTCTCACATGTGGACCATGGGCACTGCTTGCTTCTCAGCTTACTGGGTAATTGCTGCGTTGATAGGGCTGGTTTATTTGCACTGCCCTCTCCTCTTCCCCTGAAGCCTCAATAACTGCTATACTGAACCCTCTTAGGAAAGGATTCAAGGTTAGTAGATTTTTAGTGAGCTTAATGGATTCCGCCATGCTTGTCCTTTGTTTGGATCAGTGTGTACAGCTTCATGTCACTTCTGTATCCCAGCGTTTGTTTGTTTGTTTGTTTGTTTTTAAAGTAAGCTCTATACCCTTGGGGCTTGAACTCACAACCCTGTGATCAAGAATTGTGTGCTCTACGGGCGCCTGGGTGGCTCAGTGGTTAAGCGTCTGCCTTCGGCTCAGGTCATGATCCCAGGGTCCTGGGATCAAGACCCGCATCGGGCTCCCTGCTCCGCGGGAAGCCTGCTTCTCCCTCTCCCACTCCCCCTGCTGGTGTTCCCTCTCTCGCTGTGTCTCTCTCTGTCAAATAAACAAATAAAATCTTAAAAAAAAAAAATTGCGTGTTCTACTGACTGAGCCAGCCTCTGTTTTCCAGTTTTTGATTTCTTCTTTTTTTTTTTTAAAGATTTTATTTATTTATTTGAGACAGAATGAGAGAGAGAGAGAGAGAGTGAGCACATGAGAGGGGGGAGGGTCAGAGGAAGAAGCAAGCTCGCTGCCGAGCAGGGAGCCCGATGCGGGACCCGATCCAGGGACTCCAGGATCATGACCTGAGCCGAAGGCAGTCGCTTAACCAACTGAGCCACCCAGGCGCCCTTGATTTCTTCTTTTAACTGACTTTTCCTTATGTCTGCTTGTGCCAGGTTTGTTTTTTGTTTTTGTTTTTTTTTTTTTAATTTTTTTTTTTAAAGATTTTTATTTATTTATTTGAGAGAGAGAGAGAATGAGAGAGAGCAAGCACATGAGAGGGGGGAGGGTCAGAGGGAGAAGCAGACTCCCTGCCGAGCAGGGAGCCCGATGCGGGACTCGATCCCGGGACTCCAGGATCATGACCTGAGCCGAAGGCAGTCGCTCAACCAACTGAGCCACCCAGGCGCCCTGCTTGTGCCAGGTTTGCATGCATTGTCATAGTCACTACTTACTTGAACCATAGGCTACTTTTCAACACACTCCTGCAAGGTTTGTAGTTTAGGTGCATTTTCTTTTTTTTCCCCCAGCTTTCTGGAGATATAAAATTATATAAAAGTGCACAGGGCGTGCCTGGGTGGCTCAGTCAGTTGAGCATCCAACTCTTGGTTTCGGCTAGGTCATGATCTCAGGGTTGTGGGATTAAGCCCTGAGTCCGGCTGCAGCTGAAATCAGCATGGCATCTGCTTGTCCCTCTTTCATCCTCCCTATGCTCGCTCTCTCTCAAATAAATATAAAAGATCTTTAAAAATATATATACTAAAAAAAATTAAGTGCACAGTGTGATGATTTGATATATGCATACATTGTAATATAATTTCCACAAGTGAAGTTCATTAAATATCTACCACCTCATAAAATTACATTAATTTTTTTGTAGAAATGCTCAAATCTACTCAGTAAATTTCACATATACAACATCATTATTAACTATAGTCACCATGCTGTATGTTACATCTTCATAACTTTTTAATCTTTTTAATTTTTCCTATTTTTTAAAGATTTTATTTATTTCAGAGAGTGAATGAGAGAGAGGGCATGAGCGGTGGGGCAGGGAAGGGAGAAGGAGACTCCCCACTGAGCAGGGAGCCCAATGCGGGGCTCAATCCCAGGACTGTGAGATCATGACCTGAGCCAAAGGCTGATGCTTAACCGACTGAGCCACCCAGGCACCCAAACTTTTTCATCTTATAACTGAACATTTGTGCTTTTTGACCAATATCTCCCCATTTCCCTCACACCCCGGCTCCTCGTATTCTACAGGCATACCCCAGAGATATTTTGGGTTTGATTCCCAACCACCACAATACAGCAAACATCACAATAAAGCAAGTCAAATGAATTTTTTGTTATTCCAGTACATATAAAAGTTACGTTTATTACACTGTAGTCTTTTTTTGCTTGGTTTTAGAGCGCAAGTGGGCAGGGAGGGGTAGAGAGAGAGGGAGAATCTTAAGCACGCTTCACACTCAGCACAGAGCCTGATGCGGGGCTCAATCTCACGACCCTGAGATCATGACCTGAGCTGAAATCAAGAGTTGGACTCTTGGGGTGCCTGGGTGGCTCAGTCATTAAGTGCCTGCCTTCAGCTCAGGTCACGATCCTAGGGTCCTGGGATTGAGCCCCGCATCGGGCTTCCTGCTCCGCGGGAAGCCTGCTTCTCCCTCTCCCACTCCCCCTGCTTGTGTTCCCTCTCTCGCTGTGTCTCTCTGTCAAATAAATAAAATCTTTAAAAAGAAAAAAGAGTCGGACTCTTAACTGACTGAACTACCTGGTGCTCCTGTTTATACTGTAGTCTACTAAGTGTCCCAGAGCATTATGGCTAAAAAAAATGTACATTTAAAAATACTTTACTGCTGAAAAATGCTACCATCACCTGAAATTCCTGCAAGTATCTTTTTTGCTGGTGAAGGGTCTTGTCTTGATATTGATAGCTGCTGACTGGTCAGGGTGGTACCTTGCAAGGTTAGGGCAGCTGTGGCGATTTCTTAAAATAAGACAACAATGAAGCTTGCTCTGTTGATTGACTCTTTCTTTCATAAGTGATTTCTCTGTAGCATGTGATGCTGTTTTATAACATTTTACCCACAGTAGAACTTCTTTGAGAATTACAGCCAGTCCTCGCAAACCATGTTATGCAATATTCTTAATTCTTTGTTGTCATTTCCACAATCTTGACAGCATTTTCACCAGGAGTAGATTCCATCTCTTTTTCTTGAATTTTTAAAAAAATTTAATTCCAGTATAATTAAATACAGTGTTTTTTAAAACATGTTTTTAAATTTTAGATTCCATCTGAATAAACTTTCTTTGCTCATCCATACAAAGCAACTTCTCATCCATTTAAAAAATTTTTTTTACTTTAATTTTTTTAAATTTAAATTCAATTAACATATAATGTATTATTTGTTTCAGGGATACAGATCTGTGATTCATCAGTCTTATATGCATTCAAATTTTATCATGAACTTGCAATAATTCAGTCATATCATCAGGCTCCATTTTTTTTCTTTTTTTAAGAATTTTATTTATTTGTGAGAGAGTGAGCAAGAGCGCGGGATGAGGAACAGAGGGAGAGGGACAAGCAGACTCCATGCTGAGTGGAGGGCTTGATCCCAGGACCCTGAGACCATGACCTGAGCTGAAATCAAGAGTCGGATGCTCGACCAACTGAGCCATCTGATGCCCCCAGGCTCCACTTCTAATTCTAATTCTCTTGCCATTTCTATCATATCTGCAGTTACTTTCTCCACGGAAGTCTTAAACCCTTCAAAGTCATCCATGAGGGTTGGCATCAACTTCCAAACACTTTTTGATACTTTGACCTCTGCCACCCATGAATGGCAGCTAGAATGTTCAATCCTTTCCAGAAGGGTTCGATTTCCTTTGCCTACATCTATCAGAAAAACCACTATGGCAGCCCTGGCCTTACAAGTTGTATTTCTTCCTTCCTTCCTTCCTTCCTTCCTTCCTTCCTTCCTTCCTTTCCTTCCTTCCTTCCTTTTCCTTCCTTTCCTTCCTTCCTTCCTTCCTTTTCCTTCCTTTCCTTCCTTCCTTTTCCTTCCTTTCCTTCCTTCCTTCCTT